AGCGGGCGTTTGCCACAGGATTCTCAGGTTACTTCGACTGAAGTGACGACTGAGTCGTGCGGCTACGGCTAGCAACGCAGTACTTGTTCCCGTATCTCTGGGAACCGAGGATACGTTAGTAACCGAGTACGTTCCCTTTCCATACTACACTCGTACAATCACGCTGTGCTAATGTAGTGGAACGACTAAAAGTATCATAACTCCCATAAGCAACCAATGCCCATAGAGAAGTTAACAACAACCCAAGGCTAAGATGGGCTGAGCTTCCTGAGGTCACACCCGGCCTGGTTAATCGTTCCAGAGTACTCCTGTAACTTCGACACCCAGGGGTCGAGAGCTAACAGGTGAACTAATGCCAGAGAGCTTGACCGTGATACGGCCAAGGGCTCTCTGCCAGATCTGTTTACGCAGCGCGTGTCTCTTCAAGCGGAAAGGATCCTGGCCTGCAAGAGCGTAATGACCTGTGCTCTGAACGGAGTGGAGAGCACCTTAGGTACGTAACCGTGCCTTGGTTTCAGGATGACTTTAGAGTCGTTAGGCCCGAATTCCAGGCAGGCAGGGCTAATGGAGAGCGCCTGCAGGTCTCCTATTCGCTTTACTGATGCCAGTGCCAGAAGCAGAGCAGTCTTCAGCGATAGCGACTGAATGTTGACAGACTGTAGCGGCTTGAAAGCGGGGCCCTTCAGGGCCCTCGGCACAGTGGGTAGATCCCATGAAGGGACGGTTAGGGGACGAGGCGGATTCAGCCTCCTGGCACCCCATAAGAAGCAGATAATCGCGCTGTTTCTGCTCACCGATTGGCCCGCAATAGGGACATGAGAGGCCGCAATAGCTGCCACATATACTTTGAGCGTGGATGGGGAGCGTCCCTTATCCAGCAGCTCTTGCAGAAATGACAACACCTCTGTCAAATCGGAAGTATGAGGGTCTTTGCCGCGGTTTAGACACCAAGCGGAGAAAAAAGTCCACTTAAGGGCGTAGAGGCGTCTCGTAGAAATTGAAATTGTGTTCAAGACTCGCTCTGGGAGGCTCGAAGGCTCCCGTCGAGCGGCCAGAGGTGCAGGGCCCATAGGTCGGGCCGAGGATTGATCGGGGGAAAAGCATAAAGAGGGAGGTTGAGCCAATCGTGGGCCAACGCGTCCCTGGTTTTTGAGTAATAAATTGGGCAGTAAGAGTTGTCTTCTGAAGCGAAGAGGTCTACCTCGGCCTCGCCGAAGATCTCCCAGATCCTCTGAACCGTCTGCAGATGGAGCGTCCACTCCCCTGAGGGGACATTGCTCCTCGATAACATGTCCGCTCCTTGGTTCAATTTGCCCTGTATATGCGCTGCTCTCAGCGAGCGCAGGTTGAGTTGAGCCCATTCCAGGAGGTGCTCTACCAGAATGAAGAGACGCTTCAAGGAGAGGCCTCCCTGGCGATTTATGTAGGACACCAGAGACATGTTGTCCGATTGGATTAGCACATGGTGCCCCTTTAGGACTGGCAGGAAGAACTGACAGGCTCGACATACTGCTAGCATTTCCAGGCAGTTGATGTGGAAGCCTTTTTCCGCCTTCGACCAGTGGCTGAAAGTCGGTATGCCCTTGCACAGCACCCCCCAACCTGAGTTGGAGGCGTCTGTCGTGACAATTGTCATTATGTAAACCATCCCCATGGTCACGCCCTGTTCCATCCAGTGGGAGCTCTTCCAGGGGGCCAGGGCTGTTACACAGGCCTGACTCACCCTGATCTGCAGGCGTCCGTGACGCCACGCATGGGATGGAACCCGTGGTTTCAACTAGCGCTGAAGGGGGCGCATATGAAGCATACCCAACTGTAGTGCTGGCGATGCCGCCATGAGGCCCAGCATCCTCTGAAACGTTTTGAGAGGGCGAGTGGTACCAATCTCGAAGGAGGTCGCCAGCCTCCGTATGGCCAGAGCCCGTTCCGGCGCGACTACAGCTCTCATTTGGGCTAAGTCGAAAATTGTTCCCAGGAACGATATTTGCTGGCTGGGGGACAATGCGCTCTTGGCAAAATTGACCCTGAGTCCCAGGCACTCCAGATGGCTGAGGAGGATGGTCCTGTGTGATATTAGCTCTGCCTCCGACTGGGCCAGAACGAGCCAGTCATCAAGGTAATTGAGAATGCGGATTCCCATCTGTCTCAGAGGGGAGTGAGCCACGTCCATGCACTTTGTAAAAGTGCGGGGGGCCAGGGACAGCCAGGGGAGAGAGCGAGGCACGCGGGAACTGGGCCGACGTGGGCTCGCTCGCAGCCGGTCGCTCGACCCCTCTGCCCCGTTGTTTTTTCCTCACAGGTCCCTGGGAGGAAGAAAACGGGAGGGCACGAGGGGCGGATTCACTCTCTAAAAAGAAAGCGATCCGAGCGCGCAGAGTGATGAGACTCATGTTCACACA